ACTACTCTAGTTCTTGGTAGTTGCTTAAGTGGCTTCTTAGAACAGCTGTTCCCTTGTTTATGTCTCTGACTTTCATTTCATTGCAGTTCTTGTTTTGTTGGTGGTGGGAAGAGGAAAAAAACCCCATGTTTCTGCTCTGTTGTTTAGACCTTGTCAACTGTGTCCTCACTAGTGGCCTGTTCTGCAGGAGAGACATTTCCATTGTAGCTGGAGCCCAGTGTGGTCCTTCTATGTCCCATCTGTTGTCAGCAGGGTGATTTCAGCAAATGTGATGATGAGTGTGGGAAGATTTTCAGTAGGATTTGACTAAGAGTTTAATAAAATTTGCCTCTGGTCTCTTCTTTAATCCTGGAAGTCAAGTGGTTCTGCCACATAGCTTGATGCTCATGTCCCTCGTGGCCTATTCAGGCTTTCTGCTTTGCTCTTTGCCACTGAATTGGTTTTCAGACTTGCTCAATGGATAGTACTGTGCCAGTTCTTTGATCTTTGCCATTGTTACTGCCTTGCTTTTGCTTGTTTAAGCTGAGGTGCAAATTACAAACTGGTGGAGTGTGAAAGAGGAGGGATGTGGAGCAGTGTATCAGTTCACTCTGGAAGAATAGAGAGCCATGGGAAGAGCAGGATCTAACAGTCACCAGAACAGCATGGAGGAGAGCTCCTCTGGGCATTTACTTTCACTTCAAAAAAAGTATTTTTCCCCAAATTGTGGAATTCAGGAATTGATGTACTTACTAAGAAGATAGTAGCAGTTGAATTTGTTTTATACCATGTGAAAACGTTATATAAATATATTTTGCAAATTCATAAAGTGCATAATATTGACCTGTTATGGCTAAGTTGTTTACATTTATTCTTTACTAGCTAAATAAAATCATATCTCTATACATTGTATTAATAAAAAATAAAAGGTAGATAAAAGTTTACAAATAGGAAACTTTATAATATTCAAAGCTTCCTAAGAAATAGGAAATTAAGCAGCTCCACATCTGCACTGATAGAAAATGGGGCAACCTATTTAAATTCTGTACTATTCTAGAAGATTATATGGATACTTGTTAAGTAAATATTACTTTAGATGCTTTGGTTTCAAGTTGCAAGATTACAAATAACAATTCTATCAACTCTAGTTCTGTAAACAAGTGTTGATAGATACCTGTTCAATTTGGTATTTACTTGCAAACTGTAATTAACAGTTCAGCGTTTTTCCTTTTAACTGCATGCTCTCTAACCGTAAGTAAGCGTAACTACCACTAATCAAGACCCCTAATCTCAAGCAATTATAAGATCTTGCATTGTTTTAATTGCACATTTAAAACCAGTGTATTTTTCTCATATAATTGTTATAATCCTTACTATTATTAATTTCTGCTTTTCTTTTTATCTGATCAATGTTAATTTTGTGTGACCTCACAACGTGTTATCTGAAGAATGACTTTGAGGCATGCAATTTTTGTGGTTAATTTACAGTTAAGGTTTGTCTTCAGTGAGAAGTGATATAATGCAACAAGTTTTCAAGGCTGTGCTTTCTCTCAGCCAGCTATGAACTCAGTCATTACTGGTAAACTAGGAACTTGTTACTAAAACAGAAGTGCAATTATACATTTAAATCATCTACATTTGTAAATCCAGGTACTTGCTCTTTGAATAGCATTTAGGTTAGCACAGTCTACTCCTTTAGTATGTAAAAGGGGTTGGTTTGTTTGTTTTTTAATTGAGTGGAACTTACATACAGACAGACTTTCTGGATCAGCTTTCCAAAAAGTGAAAATGAAGTCAGTTAAGTTTTATAAAGCACTGCAGGTCTTGAGGGCAAGACCTAAGAGGTTTTTCACTAGTTGATGTTGGTCTCACTTGTTGCTGTATAGTTCTTATGCACACATTTTGTATGCAAGGGCTTTGGATGAGTGCATTTTGAACAAATAATCATCAATCTGATGATTCATCTCAGGAACCGCATGCAGCACTTGCATCTGTAATTGGGGTAATTGCAAAGCTCTCATTCTTACAGATAGAAATTCTTCCTCTTATAATTCTAAAATCAGATCCCAGATCTTTTACTGTGGTAGCTGAGACCTATACTGACTTGTATTTATTTCTCTATTCTTATTTGTTACATCATTAAAAGTAGCAGATGATTTGGTAACCTTTCCAACCTGTGTCTGACCTTCATGATTCACTTGTGCGAGTAATTGGCTATTGAAATTACTATGCTTTTTATCTTTGACGTTATTTAAACACTGCTTTAAATGGGGTGACACAGACTGCATTGTAAACGGGTAGCCACATTGTTGGGGACAATATGTTTTATCTTTTGTCAGAAAAGAATATTAATGGCGGGGTGGGTTTTCCATCTTTTCTGAGGGATCTTGACATTCATGGAGAGGAGGTGTTAAGAGATTTTGCTCTGTCATAAATTGCCCAACTTTCTTCCTGTAGCAGAGTGTGTTTCTGAAATCTTTTTGGGACTGCAGTGTACTGCAGTGGGTTCATTTCATCAGTCCTTTGAAAAGAAGGAAAAGCACACAGCTAGCTATTTCTATGCAGGTCAATGTTTAATATGCTAATGTATCTACCCAATATTAGGCTGCAAAAATCCTTGGCTTTAACGTGTCTTTAATAGTAATAAAGTGGTTAGCTAATGATAAAATAAGGATTGTAAATTTTGGATTTTTTTTTTTTAAATAGAAAATTAATTGGGCAGGAATAATTTTTCTTGCCAAGATAATTGTCATACTGGAGCATAGTAGCTGTAATTTGCAGTGGAAACTGCTGTAGGATTGCTTACCTCATAATAATCAAAACGAAGAACCAAATTCCTGTTTTTTTCTTTAGGCTTTATGTAGCTGGACAGTAATGGGAAAGAGTGAGGATTCCATTTTACCTTTGCTGGCATAGAGCTATACATCCCAAGATACTGAGCCCCCAGGTCTCACTGTTCACCAGGGAGCAAGAGATAGTCATATGCACACATGTATGGTTGCCTGGAAATCTACAGATAAGAATTTGATGGTGACCCTCTTCCTAATCTGTCTCCTATTTTCAGCTCTATATTGGCTGGCAGAAGAATGATGTTTGTGGATGCCTTGTGCTGCTGCAGTGTCCTGCCAGTGGGACTTTGCAGTTTTGAAGGTCCTGGGTTCGTTTTCTCTTGGGGAACTTGGTAAAAATCCATGTAAGTAGGGCCTACAGTAGCAGTGTTGTAGGGCTGTGTTTACATCTGCATAACAGAGCAAAATGGGACATAGTTAGGGAAAGGTAATGCTGTTCAAATACAAAATATTCATGGATTAAGGAGCATTTATAGTAAATTTGTTTTTTAAAGCATTTCTTCATTCTTCAGTACTCATTGCATCAGACTTTGCAATATGGTTTAGCTCAGGCATGATTTAAGGTTAAACTGAGAAATAATCTATACATTTCTGGTCACTGTATCCCTTTTCATACTCTTTACTTTTTTAAAACTGAGTTTGCACATTTTATATATATATATATATATATTTTTTTTTTTTTTTATGCCCATCTGTACAGAGGTGTAGTTGGAAGAGGGGAGAGCTGGTCTCTACAGGAACTCATAAAAAGAGGTTGTACAGCATCAAGAAGGAATTCTGTAGAGAACCAGCAGTGTAAAGGCCTTGAGCAAGTCTAAATTTTAACTTTCATCTTTCGATGAAAATTTTTTTGTTGGTCATAAAACCCTAAAGCATCTTAGTTGGCTAAAGGATATCTGCCTGTAATACTGACCTGAATAAATAGCTGAGTTCTGAATGGAATGAATGGGATGAGGAAATTTTTTTTTTTTATAAGGAGAGTGTGAGGGAGGAAATATACAGCAAAAAGGGCAAAATATTCTCTTGTTTTTTATAAATATGACTTCTCATTTATTTTTACCTCGAGTGGAAAAGGTATGATACTGACAATTTAGTGCCTGTTTTGGGGGACAGGAAATGGTAAAGAGGAAGAACTTACTCAGCAAGCCAGTGCACTTACTGGTGGTTATTGCTGCATCTGCCATCTGACTGTTCCTCTCCTTCTACAGCCAGCCTTTCACATATCACTGACCTGATTCACAACATAGGAAAGCTCCCCTTAAGGCTTCCTGTCTTTCGGTCAGAGCTGAATTGGCTGGAAGAGCCTTGGCTCCAGACTCTGCAAGCCATCAAAACATGACCATTGAGACTGCCACCAGCCTGCTGTTCTGTCTTGGGCTTCAGCAGGCGGATCTTCTCAAGTCCCATGTGTTTTCGTCTGCTTCCCTTCACACCTGGAAATACTGCCTTTTTTCTTTCTCATGTTTATTCTTAAACCCATCTTGATGAACCAGCTGGCTTCGTAATGGTGTTGAATGGAGTCAGAAGGGCTGTGCGTCAGTCTGCCTTTGAGGGCTCTAGCTCTTGCCTCAGGCCTTGCTGTTCTTCTGCCTGAAGATTATAAAACATAATGTGAGGTTTTATGTATTATTAAACTTACAACTATAAATCACTGACCCATGGTAGCTGTTTATTACATATTCTATCTTCTGCTTTGATGCATTGTTGTTGTCACAGAGGTGGGTAATGATGACTCGGCTTACTACCATGGTAATGCACTTAAAGCTTGGAAATCTGTCACTGATGGCATTTCAACACAGGTGCTATAAACCAGAGATGAAATTTTAAAGTATGTGCTGTCAAGCTATTTGTCTTAAAATTTTTGTGTCTTCTATTGTGGTTTCATAAGGTTTTGGATACTACTGAATTGTTTGATGGACAAAGACAAATAGTTGTGTTTCAGGAACTATATGCTGCAGAACTTGGCATTGCAAAAGTAGATGGTGGTCCTCAATTTGCGGTGCTGAAGGTGATCGATAAAATGCTTGTGTTCAGTGGGCCGCCTTAACAAAGCAATGACGTTGCAAGCATTTCTATGGGTCTAGCATTTCCAGTCTTAAAGTGTAGTGGAACACAGACTGATCATCACCAGTTATTATATATTATATATCTTGTTTTTCATCTTTTTTACAGCCCTTCTGTATGCAACCATTTTTGGTAATGTGACAACCATATTTCAGCAAATGTATGCTAATACAAACAGATATCATGAAATGCTGAACAGTGTCCGGGACTTTCTAAAGCTCTATCAGGTCCCTAAAGGACTGAGTGAACGTGTGATGGATTACATCGTTTCCACCTGGTCAATGTCCAGAGGAATAGATACTGAAAAGGTAAGTAAATTAAACTGCAAGGAAAGAAGTCACATCCTGAAAGTATTTCATTAAAATAAACAGGAGGTACTTTCTTAGTAAAAACGACAAATGTTCTCTAAATAGTTCCAAGTAGTAGCTTCCCTTAATTTTCAACTTTCAAATACAGTTTTTCAGCTATTCTGTCATACTGACATGTGTTAGTGGTAAAAGTATGTAAGTTTTGCTGGTGATATGGCATAAAATAGTGTAAAAAATGATGAACGGAAGAGCTTGGCTTTCAGTAAACAAAGAAGATAACTAAGTAAAAAGTTCCAAGTTTTAACACAACCTTGGAACTTCTACAAATGAGGTTTTTTCAGCGTTTCTGTTCTGTGAGGTTGTTTGCAACTCTGGGTCTGAATACAAAATAAGATTTGTTTTGTCTTTGTAGAATTTGAATGTTATATTCTGTGTGAAGGTTAAAGATATTAATGAAAGCTGCAAGTCATTACTGTAACCATAACTTGTTGTTTGAAAACTGCCTTATGTGAGGCAAATGTTATCATCCTAATTCACTGATATTACAAGTAAATTCCCATCATGTCTTTTAAAATAAGAAATGTACAAAAGCAACTTCTTGCTGCTTTCATATTAGTTGCCAGCTTTTATAGAGATAGATGTTTTTTCTTCTTGTAAAGAGATGTATTTGTGTAGTGGTTCATTCAGGAAATCATACCAGTGCTCTGGTCACCAGCCTTCTTGGCAGCTTAATTTAGTATTCTAAACTGTAGATGATGCAGTTAAAGAGCAACCAATCTCATTTCTGTCCAGCTGTTAAAGCATCGTTATGAAAGAGTAGAACAGATGTGGCCTTGCACTGGGCTGTCTGGAGACCAATGGGTACACAGGGTACTGTTTGCTTTTCTAAATGGTCTTCAGCGTATCTGCCGTTTAGATCTCAGACCATGATTCTGGGAAGCACTGTCCATCATACTAGCTTTCAGAAAGAAGTGGTATTTTAGTATGGTCTAGTGCTGATTAGAAGGTGCTCAGCTTGTTTTCTCACAGAATATCTTTGTGGGTCATTATGCATTTGAGGTAGGTGCATTTGGGGGAGGTGGCGAGACAACATCTGAGGATACACAGTGTAATGAATACTGGTGCTTTCATTCACCCCCTAGTACAAGCTCCTCTCATCATTTTAACAAAGCAACAAGAAAAAAATGCTATGTAAAACATGTTTGGTTTAGCTTATCTTCAAAGTTCATTCTTGGCTTTCTCTGATAAGGAGAGAAATGCTTTAAAAATGCCTTTGGAGACAGCAAGATAACAAAACCAAGCACAACTCACTGTAGCCTTTGAGAATTATCTTAATAAACAGGAAAAAAAAAAAGTCTCCAATTATCATGACATCAAAGAGCTTAATATGGTGTTGTTATCAATAACTGGTGTGTTCATAGCTGAACTGCCAGTAGTGGTGACTGTAAAACCAAGAAATCAACTTTCATCTGCACAGCAAATGATAGCAGATATACGACCGACTAATGGCAGTGCCAATCCATAAACTCAAGTCTAAGCTCTGTTGGTTTGATGCCTGTGTATAACTTCTAGGATGCCATGCAATGAATAAAACACGTGTTACTCCTGTGACAGAACAGTGGAAATTGTGCTACTGTGTAATGCCATGCAGTTTTCTACAGATGAAGCAGATATTTAAAGATGAACTTAGCACAGAATCAATCTTCTCACTGTTTTGTAGGCCACAAATTTGTCAGTTCAGTGTTAACTGCAGGCATGCCAAGGAGTGAATAATCAGCTAAAAGCAAAGTCTGTAAGTCTAGAAAATGCCAGTATAATAAAATTTAACCAAGAGCTGCTGAAAGATTCTAAAATTAATCTGTGAATATGTTTCTTGCCTCCCATACAAACGAAAGTCTTCTGCCATTTGTCTGTAACTCTCAAATATCTTGAATCCCTTTAATTTTTTTGAATTCTGGAAACAACTTCTCTAAATGGAGAATGGAAAATGAGTTAACTTCCTCTTAGACTGGAAAATCAGGGGGGTTTTGGATAAGAGCCTCATTTAAAATATTCTCTTGTATATTTAGGTTTTCTTACTACTATTTCTATTACAGCAACCCTTTTTGTGCATGATATTCAAGGAACTGTGAAGAGTGTGTGTGTGTAATTCCAGTAGCAAAGTTTGGCAAGCATCTGCAAATGCAGAATATTTTTGTTGCCAGAATAAATAATTGCAAAGACAGCCATGGCTGTTGCATGTGTTCCATGTTAAATGTTGGTCTTGCTGCCCTAACCCACTTCTATGAGCCTGTAAATCTGAGAACTGGCAGGTTTGGCTGCTGATCCCTGTGGGGCAGCCAAGAGAGATCATCCATGAGTGCCCTACACTGAAGCGCTATAGAAATATATCTCTTTGAGAAGTGATACCTGTAATAGCAGGTCTGCTTGGAGGTGGGCCAAAGGTGATGATACTAGTGGTAGTCATTTGCCTTTGGAGGAGCAAGCATAATATGTGGAACCAGTGCCACACGCAGAGTTGCGAGCTTGGTTCTCCGCTCAGATCTTGCACAGAGCCCCTTTGCAAGGTTTAGGCATAGCCACAGTGCTTCCTGTGTTACCTTCATGTTTTCAAGGAGTGTTTGTATTGAAGCAGCCATCTCTTTCCATCCCAGAAAATGTGTGGGAGTAACTCTGAAGTTCACCCAGAGTGCTCCTTAATTGGATGGAATAATTATTACAGGGGAAAGAAAATGACGCAGACTTACACTACTTTTCTCAAATAATATGTCCTGAGATGCACTTCATCACAGAATATCCTCCCAGGATTTTGTCATCCCAAAACCCTCTTCATGTTATGTATTTCCAGTGTTTTTGCCAGGAACTTTTAATCTGTACATGCAGTAGTAATTCTGTATTCTCTTCACTCAGCTGTCTCTGTTATATTAAAAACCTTCAGAAATGACTCTGACTGATACCCGCTGTGCTAAGCATCAGTTTGTGTACCCTTAGCTGCACACATCACAAATTGCCATGAGGAACAGTGCATTGGAAGATCAAAAGTTGCCCAACACAGTATGATAACCTTTAAGTCCGTTTCTTGTGTGAACAACGTGTTACTGCCACTGAGGGGTGAATTTGAATACCTGCATATCTCAGTACTACGAGTTAATGAAACTTTTAACAGCTTTTTTCATGCTAAAGGAAAATGAGATTTCACTCCTCTGTACAATTCTCCCACTTGGAGCATATAATCTGTACAGGCTTTTCATGGAATCTGCCTATCAAAAGAGTGACCTACCCTCTAGAAACAGTCTTTGAGGAAGCTTTTTTCCGCCATTTTATGTACTGCTGTGCTGTCAGTTCAATTGTCTTAACTTGAAGCCTTATCCTGATAATTCAATATCCAGCAGAGCACGTTGCTGAGAGGAAAACATTATTTTTCTTCAGATATTGTAAAGTAGACTGAGTTAGTATTGTGGATTATGTGTATAAATAGCATAAATGTACGGACTGAGATTAGAAATTTTATAAGAAGCAGGAGCGTATAATAGTTCTTGAGCTCTGTGTAGTAAACTAGGGATAATAGGCACATAAAGCTATGCACAGGAATTGATTGTCTGATTTCCTCCTCAGGTTTTGCAGATATGCCCTAAGGACATGAGAGCAGATATCTGCGTGCATCTGAACCGCAAAGTTTTCAAGGAACACCCAGCCTTCAGGCTGGCGAGCGATGGGTGCCTTCGAGCACTTGCCATGGAATTCCAGACAGTGCACTGTGCCCCGGGAGACCTGATCTACCACGCTGGTGAGAGTGTCGACAGCCTTTGCTTTGTGGTTTCAGGATCTTTGGAAGTAATCCAGGATGATGAAGTTGTTGCTATATTGGGTGAGTTTCACAGCTGATAATATGCATTATGCACAAATATAGATGCATAGAGCATTTTTATAGCCTCTTCTACTCAAGCACTTAACTTTTTAAAAACCTTCAGTCAAGTTAGCTTTACCACAGCCTGATGAGCTATATTTTACTGCTATTCTGTTCTGCATAGGTAAATAGGAACGGAAATCATCTGATCTCCAGATTGCTTCAACCCTATTTCTGCTGGTCAATGGAAACTCTACTTGAGCATTGGGATCCTTGTCATTTTTGGGGTACTCCCTGTCTCACCATACCTCTTTTCATTAGAAATTTCATTGAGGACTACAGAAAACTTATTTTTAAAGTGCCTGGCTTTCCTGCCTCCCTCTCACCCTCTGATAATAATTCACTTTTGCTGAAAATTTTCCAGTTAGATTTATTTAAGATCTCATGTTGAAGTAATATTTATCTCTCTTAAAGTCAAAGTAATATAAAAATTTAGAGCTGATTTGTGTTAACTTGGAAAGACAGCTTTTGGTCAGACACATTAAAAAGATGCTGATAGTGGTGTAAACAACATTCTGAGGCAAATCTAGGAGAGAAGAGTGTGATAATCCAATAGACATAGATGAATCATGGGGTGGCTGGAGCATTGAGGAGGTGATACTTATCATTTGGTTCTGTCAGAGCCTTTTGTGATAAGGTAAATTCTCATGGTGGCTTAATCCAGCCTCTGCCACTCATAGCAGCCTGGAAAAAGAGCGGAAAACATCTTGGTAATCTTACTCTTTCAGAACACGTTCACCTAGCTCTCTTAAGAGGAATGTCTACTGGAAAATGAGTGGCTAATAAATATGCTGCGTTAAGTTTTTCTCTACTTCTGAACACGATTGCATATATAGCATAGGGAGAATTTAGTGTCCTGGAGAGTCAAGATCATATTTTGTGCCACATAAGAAACTAAAAAGGTGAAAAGTACAGGGATAACTGATTCTCATTTGTTCCAGAATCACGTGCGCTGTTCAGTGCTATATGATATTAGCAACTTCTGCTTTTCCAAGTTGCAGATCAAGAACTTAATACTTTTTTGCTGTTTAGGGATGTCAATTAAACTCAGACACTAGAGTGAAAATAGTAGGCGTATTTTACTCAAAATAACTAATTAATACAACAGAATAATACAGAAAACATACAGTAAGAAAAGACAGAATAGTACACTTAAATAGGAAAATACAGGGTAATGCATCAAATCATTACTACCTGAGAAATAGAATAGTGATTAAGAAAGATACATCAGCACTTGCATACGCTACCATCCGCAGTCTCTGGGCAGCCCCGGTTACAGCGAGGATTTGGAGAGCCTGTCACTGCAAGTGGGAATTCCTACGCGGTGCGTCCACCCGTAGGTGAGGCGTCCAAAGTTGCTGTGAGTGGGCCCAGCCTTATACACCCCCAAGTCAGCAAGCCAGAATAGCTGGCACCTCTGTTTTGAGCGGAACATCTGGTTTCACTCTCTCATTAGATTCCCCCAGAGCCTGGCCAGGGCTCAAGGGAGACGCTAAGGGAGTTTCCCTCCTGATCTAATTTATGTGCCTTTTTTTTAAAACAAGGCCATAATGTCTGTCCCAAGGCTGGACAACTGGCTTCACAGCTTTGTTAACTTACCCCTATGCAGAGAAGAAGAAAGATACATTCAGGATAGAAATGTTTTCATTATATCCATCACCAGTGATGAGTATATGATATCTAATCTACATCTTTCATTAATGAGCATACATATTTTGTGAGTGACTACATACTGAGTTAGCAGCTTTGGCTTGGGGCCTGTTGCTCAGGGTTCAATGCTTCCACCTTTTACATCAGAATAGGTAGTTTGTTGTAACTTAGTATAACACCTATTAGCACAATGGTTACCAGTTATAGAATATACAGGATTCATCTATAGGTCAATTCTGGCTTGGGCCTATTGTCCAAGCCCTAGTGCTTCAAATACCTTTTGCCATGTTGAACTCTCTTGAATTAACATGGCAAATGTAGAACTAAAGCCTCTCAATTTGTGTTGCCTTTTATCCCACAGTGCCCTCTTCTGTGACCATTGTTAGAAGAAAACCTCAATAGATCTTTAGCCAGTATAGATAAAAAGCACTGAAAGAATTTTTGAAAATGTCCTTTAAAGATACCATTTTTTTCCTCATCTTTACCATTAACTTTGTGTTTTATCTTAATACTCACTTTAGAAAACACTCAGAATGGATTCCTTGAGAAATGTGTAAAGGAAACCTGAACCCCTGATCTCTGCTGCTGCAGAGTGATAACTACAGTTAAATGAGGCTGATTCCTTGGTATCTGAATGAATAGAAATATTTTGTTGTTGCTGTTCTCCTGGGACAGTAGCTATTGATCCTCTTGATCCTCTTCCTCCACACCTTTTTTTTTTTTTCCGAATTGGAGTCAGTTCTCTGTCTCTCAGCGAAGACCTCTGTCATTTTCTTTGTGAATATTGTAATCAGAGAGGAAAGTAAAATGAAGTGGGATCTATTTGTGATTCCGTGAGATTTCATTTTGGATCAGTGTATCTCAATTTTTGTGTTTCAGTTTCTGGACTAAAAAATCCTTTCTACATGTGTGTGTACTTTCATCCCCCAGGGTGTGAAGCTTTGTGTTGAAGTTTTCTCTATCCTGATAAGAAATCACAGAATCATTCAGTCTGGAAAAGACCCTTGGGATCATTGAATCCAACCATCAGCCCTACTCTACAAAGTTCTCCCCTACACCATATCCCCTAACATCTCGGTTAAACGACCCTTAAGGACATCCAGGGATGGTGACTCATGGTTTTTCACTAAGTTTTAACTAAGTTTTTCACTATTCTAAATAAGTTGGACGTTCTTCTCCTTCAGCATTGCATAATGTAACCACCACATTACTGAAGGATGCTGCAAGGAGATGGGGTCAGGATTTCCTCCCTAACTTCTTTGTACTCTTCAGTTTTCTTAACTGTAAATAGCAATATTAATTTTTTTTTTTATTTCATGTTCAGCTTAATCTGTCAAGTTCCTGATAAAAGTACACCAGATAAGACAAGGCACTACAAGGAGGAAAAAAAAAAAAAAAAGGAATCTACATTGTATAAGAAAGGTGATTGTTGCTGATCATTCAGCCAGAACAGCCTATGCTACAAGTTTTGTTTACCAATCACAACTAAGCAGAGCTACAAACATCAGGCATTGTAACAGCAAACCATGTGAGGAATTCTGTAGGGTAATTTCAGTTAGCAGGTATGTTGGAGAGACTGTAATCTGCTCTCAGACATTCTTGAAATAAAAATAAAAAATAATTGCATAAATTATTAAAGGTGAATTATTTGTTCAGCTTTAACTCTCACTTAATAAAGCAGCCTTTGGAATTTGAAATGTAGCCTGTATCTTCCTTACAATGGAGAATTAAATTGCATCTCTAGATTAGTCTGTGTGACTGCTGTGCAGCATTACATAAACCAAAGGCAAACTACACTTAATCCTTAAAGGATCCAATTCGTATGAAACATTTTCAAGTTCTGAAATAATTTAGCCTTGCAGAGTAGCATATAAAAGCGTATTGTGTAGCCCTGGAGTGTGTTGTATACACTTGCATAATATCCTTCCAGATCAGTTCTGTGTAATACCCAAGAGACAGGTATATTTGCAGTTTGGTCTTACATTCTTATGACAAAGCACCAACTTTGATTGACTTGGATTAATGTGAGTACTGAGTTGGAAGAAATTGCACATAGGCCAGCAGTCAAAAAATTTTCTTGTGTCTCCTGAGATTGACTTCCCCATTAATTTGACTTGGAGACAAACACAAAAATGAGTAAACTAAAAAAAATTCTTTGCAATGTTTACAGTAAAAACTTTACAAAATTGACACATTTTGTATGGTTTGATTTGTTGGGATAAAAGACATTTTTGAATTCTATCCAAAATTTCTGCTGATTTGAATTACAATCTTTGGATATGATGTGTTGAAGAAACAAAAGCCCAGAAGTAGAAAATTACCTTTAAGCCAGGTGAATGATTCAGTTGTGATTCATTCAAATATAAATGAGTCAGAAAAGGGAAGACATAGCAAGAAAAGCCATTGTATTACTATGGGTTTCTATGTTAAAGTGTAAGTATATGGGTGTGATTATGTAGAAGTGAAGATTAGCTAGTGGAAAGCTTCTTGGATGAGATACAATTCTGTTTTCTGTAGTTCACTGCTCTTCCTTTTATACCATTGTTACAGCATAGGGTGAAGTGCTAATGTACGCTCAGCACTTTGTGGAAGATAGATAACTGAGTGAAGTACAGGTTGTGCAGTTCTTCCATTAAGAGTCTGTTTTCAATTTGGCTTTGCTTTTAACTTTTCTAAGCCTTCCCATTTGGGCTGATGTGGTTTTATCCATCTGAGACTGACATAGCTCTTGGAACTACTCTTGCTTAAAAACTTACCCATTTATCTAAACGTGATTAGAGAAGATTGGTTGTTTTGTCACTGTTGAAAACAATCAACAATTTACGTGAACTTCATTTGGCAGCTCTAGTTTCTCTGCTTTGGAGCTGACCTTTCAGGCTGAGCCACTGGCCATCTGAAAACTTGACCTCATCTCAGGTCTTTGAAAGTTAAAATTTACTCATGCTCCTGAATTAAATGTGTTCCAGGCAGGCACTATAAGGTCTGGCTGCAGCTTTCTTTGAAATATGCAGGGGAAAAGGGATAGTAGTAGAAGCATAAAATAAGCCTGCATAGCTCGTTGTTGTTTCTTAATTCAGGGAAGCTTGAAGACCTAAACTGACATTCAATGCACTTTTTGTATTTTTTTACTCTATGAAGGTACACGTTTCCTTAGTGGAGTGTGAGAATATAGATTCTTTGGAACTGTGGTAGTCAAGAAGCTGATGTTAGAAGTCCAGCTGAGCAGGTGATAAGCCATTGCTGGGGCTAACAGGGTACTTCACTGGTGGTACAGCCTTTTACTCTGGACCTTTGTAATCTCTCCTCACCAT